GTGGACTGAAGTACAATGTCCTCTGTTCCATGAGGATGGAGGCTATGGGTATCTTATTTATCCTATTATATCCATCATCTCAGTGTAGTTGGTTGGTACCAAAAACATTTTTAAATGAATGAACAGTAAAACCAGCTTAACACAGAAGCACTCACCGTGCGCCTAGGCACTAAGTCCTTGTCATGTACTGTCTCATTTCAGCTTGACAACAATACCATGAGGGAGGTATTACCATCACCTCAGTTTTGCAAAAGAGGAAGCTGAGGCACAGAGAGGTTAAGTACCGTGTCCAAAAGTACAAGCCTAATAGCAGTAGATCCAGGATCCAAAGCCCGTCTGGCTCCAGAATCTACACTCTTAACCACCGTGCTGTGCTGAGGACACAATCTCGGGTACTTAGGTATTAGGAAGTCATCATCAGAGAACCCCGGACATATCCACACACCCTGAGAAACCCTTCCAGGAGGTTTCTGGTGGTGCTAAGCCCACACTGTTTTTGTTTGTTTGATCTGCAGGACATTTTAAAGAAAACCAATGCCTACTTTCATCCCCAAGAAGGAGACTACCTGCAATTTTCAAATAACTATGTAAGCACACTGACTTATCAAGCAACTGTAGCAGGCATTTCTAGGTACATAGTATTTCTCTGCTCAAGAAATCTGAATAAGCTTTTTAAACATTCTGTGGTCTAATGTCCCCAGCTCTAAGAAGATCCCAGACTTGCTAGACAGACTGAACAAGATCATGGACCACAGCTGCCTGTTTAAATGGTAAGCTACTATATAAACATAACACATGATCATAATAATTAAAGTATTTTGGGGGGACAGGGTATAGCTCAGTGGCAGAGTGTGTGCTTAGCATGCACAAGGTCCTGGATTCAATCCCCAGTACCTCCATTAAAATTTTTTTAAAATAATAATTAATATATTTTGATATAACAGATCAAAATATCTACACACATCAATCTACACTTGTCAAAATTCCATACTTGCATATACTTGTATGGAAGTTCCTATTTATATCTCTCCACATTTCTGTGATAACGTACGAAGCTTAATTTATTTCTGTAATACTGTGTCCCTCCATTAGTACTTCGGAGCTTCCAGACATTTCTACTATAACTTCAATAACTTTTCTCTACCTTAATCCAACTACTTCTTTCATTTTAGAAGAAAGAGTTAACAAGGCAGTACATGTTTTATTCTAACTTCAGATTCTTCTGTATTAGCACATGACAAAATTAGCAAGCAAGGGCTTCATTTTACTTTATAATTAAAAGGCTCAAAATGATACCGCTTTACCTCTGAAGGCCTGATGTTTGGTGTTCGAGCCAAGAATGAGGTGGGTCTAGGAAAGTAAGCTGTGGTTTTTGCTTGTTGGAAAGATACATGTCTCCATATAATTGAGGGGTAGGACAAACAGTATTCAAACTATTTGTAAATTTAGTGTAAATGATGACTCTAACCACAGACAGGAGTGGAGAGGAGGGGGAGGCGGTGTCAAAACCAGGTGCAATCATTTTCACCTTGATCTGTTCTTTAAAGCTCTGGTTTCTATGCTATTGAAGGCTCTAAGGAAGTCAGTTATGCGCAGGGGCAGAGACAGTGGTTAGCAGATGACAAAAGTATGCTTTATAATACAGAGATGTAACGCATAAGTTGGGGAAATGACTATGCAAATACAAACAGAATTTTCACGTTCCTACAGTTGCTACCATTAGATATGTGAGTGCTTGAGCTCTCCTCCACCCTAGTATCAGCACAGAAATGGCTCGACCAATGTGAGTAGTGCAGGAAGGTGGGGCTGGGGGAGGAGGAGGAAGGAGGGACCGGGATGCAGGGATGAACCCTAGATACTTCTTGTGGACTAGTTCCTGCAGCCAGGAAGCAGCCTGGAGGATGTGGGTGAAGGCTGCCTCCCGGCAGTGGGAACTAGTCCACAAGGCTCCTCCAAGTTCTTTTTCAGTGTCTTTTAATCATGAGCTTCCTCTATGCTTCTGCGACTGCTCTTCTCTTCATTTCTGATGGCCCTGTTCCTTTTTCAAAGCCAGTGGCTTCCCCAAGCAGGGCCCAAGAAGATTCAGAGCAGCCCTCTGGTTCCAGGGGTGGAGTCTGTGGCTCAGGCCACCCTGGCCCTCCTGCCTTTTGGACTCAGAGCAGACCCTGCAATTCATTCCCAATTCACAGGTGCCTCCTCATGGCTGCCCTGCAGTACCTCCCAGTTGAGGGGCCTTAGAAGGCCCGACTGTATCTGTTAGGATGCTCAGCAGGTTCAAGAAGAGTCCCTAGGAGGCTGCTTCTGCGAAAAGGCCTACCAGAAGGAAGCTGTCGCCTCCTCTTCACGTACTAAGTGCAGATGCACACACCCTCCCAGCTGCCTCTTTTTGCCATGCCCCTGGGTGCTCCCCGCAGCATCTCAGGTTTGAGCTGGCTCCCCCGGGGCCGGACCGCAGAACAACGTCATCACTCAAGTCACTGTTTCCAAAGGGGCACAACCCTCATCCAAAAACTTCAAATGGCTCAGTGCTCTCCCACCTTGCTGAGTTCAGTCCTCACCTGGCTTTCAAGGCCTTCTAAGAACCAGAATGGTGGGCCCAGCACCCATTTTTCCCATCTCAGTGACTTTGCTCCTAATGGTAACCCCTCTACCAGAATGTGGGCCCACGTCCTTATGCACCAACCAAGAACCCCATCCCAGGGCTGAGGGCTACTTTCCTAAATTTTCAAGACCTTAACTATTCTCCCATCCTTTTTCCTACCCACTCCAGATCACAAGTTCTCTCCTCCTCCCTCCCGCCCTCTCTCTCTCCCTTTCTCTCTCACATACAAAATGCAGCATTAATTAAACCTCTTTTAGAAAACAGATTTTCACCAGCTGCAGGAGTCCTGGGTATGAGCGAGACGTGAAGCCAGAGACAGGCTGAGTGAGGAAGATAAGCTTGTGACAGCTGTGAATGAACCTGTGGGCAGTGCAGCGTCCCACATCCAAGTGACATTATGAATTCCAGCCCTTTCCAGGTTCCTAAAAAAAAAGGGAGCATAGGTCGCTCCCACTCCTTTAGCCTCTGGCTATTCTCCCCCGGGCTGGCCTTGGATAGAGGCAGGAGAACTGGACTTTCCTCCCTCTGCCAGTGAGTCAGTGCCGCCTCCCACAGACAGAAACACCTTCCTCAAACAAGCCTCCCTCCCCAGCACAGCAGCAAACCATATTGCCAGAAAAGTGCAAGAAGGGGCGCTCCCAGCTTTCCCCAGGGTGGATAGCCCCACTGGGGTGAAGATGCTGCAATGGGAAACAGCCAGCTGGGCTCCACAGGTGGCTTCCCCCATCACGCGCAGGGATGAGGGATGCTGAAGGCGGCTGCGGGCCACAGCTCAGGGCCCTATACGTTAAGCTGTGGAGGACTCATCCCTCAGCAAAAAGCCTTAGTTCCTCAGAGTCCTCATCACCCTTTCACCCCAATTATGGGATGAGAACAGCTGCTTTTCTTCATGGACATTCTGAGGTTAGAGGCCCAGTTGTCAAAGCCTGACCCATAAATTGAGCTCTTTGTCCCAAATGCATACAAAAATGAATGTCTCTACTGAGATAAAGTATTTCTTAAAAATATGATGAATTTAAGAATAACCTTTTTGGAAACAGTGTAGCACAATGGAAAAACATGGATGACAGGCTTAGACTGGATTCAGGAGGGAGACTCACTTCTTTACTAGACAAACACTGAGTACCTACCACTTAGAAGGTGCCAGGCTGGGTGCTGGGGCCACAGAGATGGTTCCACCCCATCTCTGAAGGTGCTCTTGGCCAGTGGGGCATCTGATAGTCAACAACTCATCACAGAGCAGCGTGGCGAGGGCTGAGGTGATACCCACTGGAATTTGTGGGCACTCAGAGGGAGCCTACTGAGCTCCCGTGTGACCCTGGGCTAATTACTTATTAATTCACTATTCAACAGTAAAAGAATATTGAAGTAATTACTATTCAAGCCAGTCACTCAAAAGAGTTGCAGATACTGCAGTTCCACAAACCATCCAAATGCAGTGCTCCAAAGGCGAGGTGGCCCATCTACTCCCTGGGTGCCCCAAAGTAGCCTCTCACGCATCCGTGAGGGTGGGCTGGCCAGGAGCTAATCCCCAAAAGAGCAGAACCTTCGACATGCCCTTTCTTTGAAATAGGCAATTAATTTAATCCAAGACATGAGAAAAGCCAGGACTTCTCTTCATGCGCTGGCTTTCTGGATGTCACCCTGCATCTCCACCTCTCTCCGGGGAACACGAGGCTTTTCAAACCATCTGCTTTAAGCCCTCTTCCCACAGACGTCCAGACTGAGAACCAACACCGCTGAGCAGGAGTTGTTCCCAAGTTCCGTCCACAGTCACGTCACGTTTGCGAGGCTGGCTGGGCACTGCCTGCTCTACAGTCGGGTTCACCCGCGGGCCTTCTGCAAATAGCAACAAATGTCCCCAAGTTGTGGAGCCTTCTTGAGGCTCTCTTGGCCATCCACCCCACACCTCCCCATTCCCACGAGATCTGTTTCCACATCTGTCCTGATTTTACTTTTTGAATGCTTACGAAGCATTCTTGTCTTCCCACGAAGGCACGCGCCACCCAGGCGGCGATAGCCTCCCTCCCCACGAAATGCCCCGCCGAAGCGGGAAACATGGCTCCGCACCCTCCGGCACCGTTAATCCTTTAACCACCCACAGGTCCACCGTGAAAGACCACTGCAGCCGCAAAGAAAGCAACCAGCTCTAAGCACATCCAATTTTGTGTGTGTGACAAAGCCAGCTTCTTTAAAAGATTGCGAGCAAAAGCAACGCCGTTGGGGGTAAACCACGCAGTTAAGCTGAGCACCCAGGAACGGTAACGCGCGCGTGGAGCGGCCCCTCCGCGGGGCTCCGGGACTCCCGGGGGCGCCCCGCGCAGGTAGCTGACGGGCGGAGCTGGCCCCACCCCCGAGGAAGGCCGCGGGGAAGTTGCCGCCGCCGCCACTTCCTTACCTGGAGACCAGCCGCCTCGGAATTGCTGGGGAAGGGGGATCCTGGGAGCTCCAGTTTGGGCAGGAATCAGGCGGCAGGAGTGCGGGGGCCGAGCGGGAGCGGGCTGGAGGGGCGGGGACGCGGATGGAGGCAGGCGAGGCAGGCGAGGCGCGGAGCTGGAGGTGGAGAAGCAGGAGGCAGCGGGGGTTAGGGGAGGCACCCGCCGGGAGGTGCGGGGCAGGGGCTTGGGGAAAGGGTGGAGGAATCGTAGGCCGGGTTAGGGGGCGCTGGGGAAAGGAAAGGGAGCGGCAGATTAGGAGGCGGGAGCAGGGATCCCGACGCTTGGGGGTGGGAGGTGGCTTGGGAAGAGGGAACTAGTCGGGGGCTGGGGTCTGGGGAGAGGGCAGGGATGCATGAGGAAGCTTAGTCAGCAGGTTCAGACCCCGTGCTTGGAAGCCCGCCCCCGACCCCCCAACCCGTCTCCCACCGGAGACACTGCCGGGCGCGTCCAGAGGACCCCCTAGGTCTCCGAGCCCTGCACCCCGGGAAACTCGCCCGCCTCGAGCCTCCGAGCCGCTCAGCCTCAACTGCAACCACCCCGCCGCGGCCCCCGCGGCACTCACCGCCCATGGTGCCGGCCGGGCCCCGGCCCCACAGCTGCGCTCCGGGTTCGGCGCTCACCGCCTGCTCCGCCCGGCGCGGGCAAAGCGAGGGAAGCTCACACCCGCCTCAGAACAGCGCGGCATCCCGCAGCGCCCCCTACTGCCCTCGCTGCGCCCTGGGCTCGGCCCGCCCCGCCTCGAGCTCCGCCCCGGAGGCGGCGATGCGGTGCGGCCCCGCTGGCCCGAAGGGAGCGGAAGCGACTGCGGAGAAGACACTGCTTGGAGGAGGCCAAACACAGGCCCCAGAGACGGGCCAGTCTGCAGAGATCCTGGCGTGCGAAAGCCAGGGTCACGGGCACCCTGAGTGCGCCGGGACCGCGGCCACCTCGGGATCAGGGATTGCGTGGACGCACGCCTAGACGGCGGTGCACCGACACCGCCCGGACCCGGGGACCTAGTGTGGGTGCCTGTGGGTTGTGTGCTGGGCTGGGCGTGAGTGTTTGGGGGCCGCCACTGCCGGGTGACTGCTGCCGCGTGGACTCAAACTGTCACAATTCTCACCACCTTGCTGCCCCACCCCCTAGCCCACTCCACGTGTCCCTTCCTGCTCCTACCACATCCGGCCCTGTGTGTCAACTCTAGACCTCGATGCTGCACTCTGGGGAGGTCTGGGCAGCCTGCCTCTCCAACCCATCCCCACCCCGTGGCTCTCAGCGTTCTCGAGTTACTGGAGAACCATAGAGCACTTGAATGATTCGGTAACTCCGTTAGACACCCGTGAGGCGCTCAGTTGAACTTGATCTGATGCGGTATTTGGGGGTCATTTCTTTCAAATGTCGGGTTTCAGCTGGTGGTGATTCCTACCTGATTTCTCCGCGCGAGATGATCTCGCCAACTGCGACTGTCAAGAGAGGACTTTGGTGTCAGAAGTCTACTGTGACCCCTACGTGCCCCAGCACAACTGGTCTTGCGCAAAATAGGCTCATGAATATTTACTATTGACTTTCCCGGCGCACTTTCTGAAGGAGTGTCTCACTTGGCCTCTTCTTTCACTCCTGTATTGATGGCTCCCAATCCACACTCTACACCGAGATATCCCATATTTCTACCTTTTCTCTGGTTTTCTGCCTAGAACTTTCCATCTTAATTCAGCACTCCCAACACCAAATTCTATCTTCCCAGCTCTTCCCAGCTCCCAACCTCATCTGCTCTTATGGTCTCACCATTTCTGTAGCCACTGGGATGCCTTCCTCACCTAATGGCTCAATGCCCTTTATAAGCCTTTGCTTATAAACCTGCCTTTCTCACCGCATTCCTGAGATGCCAGGCTGTCCTCAGCTGCTTCCTGCCCTGACCACTGACACAACCCCTCCCAGTCACGAACTGTGCCTCCCAGCACAAAATTGTTTCACTGTCCCCTTTAGCATCACTCCAGGCTCTCCCACCTGATTCAGTCCCACCCAACACATCTCCTTCCCTCCCAGGGCTCTGCTGATGGTCCTCTCACCAATCCCAGGCTCTACCCCTTTCCTGGCGCTGCCTCCCTCTTCCCTACACGAGTTAGGGGGCTTTCTGCTGTAAATGAGAGACAACCCAATTCACACTTGCTTAAACAAAAAGGAATTGATTGACATACATAAATTAAAAGCTCAGGGTGTCTTTGCTTCAGGTCCGGATTTAGTTCCGGAAACTGAAGACTTTGGGAGCTCTCCATCTCCGGGCTTTGCTTCCTCCCATGGGCACTATACTCTCAGGCTCCACATGAGACCCCAGCAGAGCCAGGCTCACAACTTCACACAACAAGTCCAGCAGAAAAACAGCTTCTCTTTGTCCACCATTCCTGCAAGCCTTGGGTCTGACTCTGGTTGGCAGGATTGGTTCACTTGTCCATCCTGTTCTCCCAGTCACTGTGACCCCCTCCTGTGGCTCCCTCTCTCTGCTACCTTCTCTTCCCCACAGGGAACAAGTGCCTGCTCCTGGATCCCTCCTCTGTCACAGCGGGACTGAGGGTGACGCAGGGGCACCGTGTCTAACCACTTCCCCACTAAATTTGCCACACTCCACTCCACCGTTATGCAGCCCTCTGGTGTTGGCACAGGGCGTTTTGTGGGGCAGAGTTCCAAAGAGGAAGTGGGTACAGGCCCTCTCTGCTTACAGCCTCCTCCTCAGCCTGTCTGGGATCTCTGTCTTTGCACCACCCTAGGTCAAGACTTGGTATGGAGGTGGCCTCAGGCCCCTCAGAACTGGGCATCATGCTCTCCCTAGACTCACCCTCTCAGTCTCTTTCCGCACTTTCCCTGTTCTCTTATGGCTTCGATTTCCCTTTCCATCCTGGAGGAGGTGTTCTCTCCCTCCTCCCTGTGGGCTGTGGGTTCTGAGTGGTACCCACCTTTCCCTGCCCCAGGGCAGTAACACTTCTTGGTTAAAACTTAAAGGAGGAAGTGGCTACAAGAAAAGAAAAAGGAAAGGTTCCTACAGGGAAAAAAGACCTGGGGAAGCATCTCAAAACCATTACCCCCATTAAACCTCTTTCCTTTGTGGTGGTTGAGGAGATAAGATGTGGCCTGAAGCAGCTGGTGGTGCCCTGGCCAGCAACTAGGAGGCTGTGCCAGAGACTGGAGCTGACCCAGAGGAAAGCAGAGATGAGAGAGAGGCGGCTTGCTGTCGAAACCAGGCCCTGGATTTTTCAAGTACATGTTCAGTGTATCCTCGCTTTTCCCCAAGCAAATTGAATGGGTTTTTCTATCACTTCCAACCAGGAGAGTCCTGAGTAACCCAAGCCTATAGCACAGTGCCTGGTACATTTGTCCCTGCAAAATATTACCTACCATCATAATATCCATCTGACAGAGGAGCAAGCTGTGCCCACTGATGACCATAAAACAGAGTATAAGAGAAATAGCGCAGGGCCATCTGCTTGTAACCGTGCTCTCCCCTTCTATTCCCAGCTTTTGTCCTTCTCCCACACACATTGTGGCCCCCAGGGAAACTCTCAGAATTTGCTGAAGGTTGAACCCTCCCACATTATAAAAATAGTCCCAGACTCACCCAGTCATGAATATTCTGCCGGGCAGCTCTTGCTGCCATTTCACCCAAGCAGTCCCGGCCTGGAGCTGCTGGGGGCAGGTGCCCTTCTTCAATTCAGCTTCCATCCACTGAGCAAAAAAGCTGAGTAAATATTTGTACAGCCTCCTTTGTCCTGCACTGTAGACTTAGAGAAACAATGGGCTACTGTCCCCACCTTGAAGGGTTGACTCGGGGAAGACAAGCAGTCTAGGACAGACACGAAGGTAACTCAAAGGTATCAGGGAGGCCACTGGGGGGGGGGGAGGGGCGGTGGTTTATTAGCGCCGGGTTCCAAGTTCCAAGGGTCTGTGCCTCCCATCACCCCGCCTCCCAACAGCACTATACATCTGTACAAAAACCCTTCTTTTGTGCCCACCATGATATCTTGGTTACGAATATTATTTTAAAGTTCCAATTACCATGGGTTTTCTTTCTCAGATCATCAAAGTACCCACTTGTTGTTAAAACTTGGGGAAAAACCAAGTACACAGAAAGATGAAAATTTAAATTATTCACAATAAGTTTGCGTCAAATAATATATTAAACATCAAACTAAGATTGAAAGCCAGAGGACTGTCCCACACATGCTTCCACCCCTCCACTGGCCACCCCAGGGCCTCAGGGAGATAAATATCTTGCAAAAGGTTAAAGGTCATTTCTTAGGTCATTTCAAAAACACTGCACTCTTCCTAACACATGTATATTTTTAAAAACTGCAGTCCAGCCTCCCAGCGCCAGGGTGGTCTGTCCTCTATTATTTATGTATGCATGACTCATCATGCTTGCTACCAGCTGCAATCCCTTCTCCCCGCCCCAGCAGGCTTATTATACTAGCCCCTTGCCCTCCCCGAGCAACCGGGGAAGGCAAACTCATTTTACCATCTATCTGGGTGAAATCCAATTAGAAAGGCAAATCCGGAAGAACAGAACACAAAATAACCACGTTAAATAAAAATAAGAGATGGCTTCAAATCTGAACTTGAGCCAAAAAAAAAAAAAATCACAAAGAACTGAAATAGTTTACTGAATCATAGATCTCAATCTTCATTTTTGTCCCCTAACTCTGACCCCCACTGAAAGATGTTTCTGAGGAAAAAAGAAAACAAACAAGCACTAATGAACTCACACAAATCTTATTTAAAAATCGTAAAAGGACAGCAAGGATTCTGGCTATTTCATCTACGACAGTGCCTGAAACCTACTTACAAAAATTAGATGAATGGATGAGCGGACCAAGAGCCTGTCCCTCTCATTTCACAATTAGGAGCCAAGAGGAGAGTGGGGTCCTGGTGGGGTTTTCTTCAATCTCATGGCCGCTTGAGAGACAAAAAAATAACTGGAGGTCAAGTGCCCATGAGAGAAGTAGGGCCCAGCTAACACCCCAGACTCCCAGTTAGGACCCAAAACAGAAAAGATGGAAGCTAGAAAACAGTCTCAGAATGCTATACATTTCCTTTCATTCATTGCTTTAACTGCACCCCACAATGCTGATAGGTTGTTTTCATTTACATTTGGCTCAAAATACTTTCTAATTTCTCTTTGAGCCATGGGGTATTTGATAGTGTGTTTAGTTTCTGAATATGTGGGGAGCTGCCAGCTGTATTTCTGATATTCATTTCTAATTTTATTCCACTCTTGTCAGAGAACACCATGATTTTGTTCTTTTTAAAGTTGTTGAGACTTATTTATGGTCCATAATATAGTCTAAGTTGATAAAGTCCTGTGTACTCTGGAAAAGAATGTGTACATTTTGCTGTTGGTGGGTGGAGGGTCATACAAATGTGAGTTAGGTCACTCTGGCTAATAGTGTTTTTCAGCTCTTTCAGATCCTCACCAATTTTCTTTCTTTTTTTTTCCTATCGATTATTGACTGAATGGTTGACATCTCCTTGATTATTTCTCCTTTGAGTTCTCAGCATCTTCTAACATGTCCTACAGGGAACAAGAAGCTAAACAGCCCTAACTCTTCCCTCCCTTGCCCCCTTCTATCTATCCATCATATCTGGCTTCAACACCGCACACCACTCCCTGCGATACTCCCTGAGTTGCAAAATATTCCAAATCAGAGAAGTTGAGTTGAGCTATAGCCCG